CCCCCCTAGAGCCACAGTCAGCTGAATAAAAATAATCTATTAATGCTTTTTTAATGTAGTTTTTGTTTATATATGCTTGGAATAGATGTGAAATGGATGTTGAAAGCGAACCAGTTTCATTAGAAACAAACCCAGAGAGCTCAGCAGATGAAATTCCTGTGAAACAAGACAATGGACACAGCATTGAAGACCAAATTCAGTCGCGGAAACGCCCATTGAGAGACATATCTACTGGATTTACCAAAGCAGTTATCATCTGCAACTCGTCAGAGCTTACAAAAAGCGAAGCTAACACATACAGACCCAACAACATCGTCATAGAATTGCTCAAGAAGAATCCAATGAGATATGGAAAATTTACCTTCAAGAAGTTTACATCAGAAGGGGAAATAAGAGAAGGACTAAGCTTAAGATTCACGATCCTAAAAAACAAAAAGTAAGAATGAAAATCTGTTTCTCTTCTAGTGGAGAGCAAGTAAAAGTACCATGAATTGGAACGAGAAGTTTAGGAATAAATAAAGCGACTTTTTCAACATGCGTACTAAAATATTGAAAAATATAAGCAACTGGAATTTTGTAAGAATGGAAAAATAATAATTTAAGTTTTATTTTTTTTGATAGATTTTGGTTTGCCTCCGCTGATCAGTATGGGAAGTTGAATTTTCGTGACATGGAAGAATGGTCGGGGCGCAACCTGCGTCGATGGCTGCCTGGAAGTTCAGCTATGTATATTATTCTTGAGGTAAAAATTATAAATCATTTATAAATATTCGTGTTAATGATAACCTGGAAAATTAAGATTTGTGTTATTATTCGATGCGCAGAAAAAAGTACTTACTTTTTCAGTTGCAGAGAAACGGCTCTGTTGATCTAAGTTAGGGCATAGCTAATTGACTTTCAGATCGAACCCTGAAACGATCTCGCTCTGGGCTGATCTAATTCATAGCACGGTTAACTCACACATCGATCCCTGAAACAACCTCTAGGCTGAACTAATTCAGAGCACGGTTAACTCACACATCGATCCCTGAAACAACCTCTGGGATAATAGAGAGTTTTAGATTCACGTTCACGGCAAACGTGAAACGTCAGTTGACCAGTAAAAAATTCTTTTAAATTACTGAAAAAGAATCGCAAAAAAGTCCAAGTAGTAGAAAAACAAAAGAGTATTTGCGCTTGGTGAGAAGGTTTGTAAAAGGGAAAGTAAAATACCGGAAAATGATGAAAACCTGGTCACCACGTTTGCCGTTTGCGGGGAGGAAAAAAAGTCAATCTAAAACTCTCTAATCTATTTCAGAGCACGGCTAACTCACACTTCCAATTGGCATTTAGGGGGTTGGGGGGGGGGGGGGGGGGGGGGGGGGGGACTGCAGGGAAAATCCCGAGAAAAACCCTTGAATTGAGGGAGTGACCAACCTGAGATCCCAGAGATGACAGGCGAGTGCAGTATCGTTACATCCCCCTTTATTTCCATATATCCCTATCCCATAAATGCGAATCATACTGCCCAAGTATTTGCATCTCACGTTTCCATGACTTTAATTTTTTATTTTCAGAATTCCCAAATTGACAACGAAAGGGAATCACGGTCGAGTTCAGACCTGTCTAAAGACGCCCCATACAGTGGTATATCTTGTACAACGGTACGAGCCGGCACTTCAACTACAACACCAGTATCTTGGCATGATAATAACTCCCAAAGAGCCTTGCTGGACTTTCTATCGTCGTCTGAAAAGTCGAAGTTGTGCAATACTCAAAAAATGAAGATGTTTGCTATCAATGCTGGACAGCAAGAATCGAGACCTCAAAATGAGTCATCAAAATCGCCCGCTCGACTGGACTTGCGCACTCTAGCTTTACATACGAAGAATGAACGAACTGACTTGGAATCTCGACTTGTTTTAAGAAGACAGCATAGTTTTTCAAGCAAGGAAACATCGACTCATGAAGCTTCTTTTTCACCAAAGCGAAGAAGGTTTCATATGTCTCAGAGTGTGCCATGTTTTGCTAGGTTAACAGGAAATAATAAACCCTTTATAGGTGATAAAAATTTAGAAAATTTAGATAAAAAACTAGAACATCATATTTTAGAAAACAAAAGAGGAAAAAATGACGTTGCGCAGTCCTCTCACGAAACCATGAATACACTTTCAAGAACGCTTTATGAAAATTCTCCAGAAAAACACACCAAGTTGATTTCTAAAAAACCTTTTATTCCAAAAGATAGTAATCTTGGACCAAGAGCAAGCTCCAATGAATCCTTAGAAAGTATAGGAGAAAATAAGGAATCAACGCATTCATCTCCTCGGGAAAGTCCTCAAAGGATCACGAATTACCCCGATGCTTCTAGAATACCTGGATTTTTTCAGCCATATTACTTGGTTCCCGATCCTCGTACAGTATTGGGGCGTAGACCAACATCTGATGAACAAAAAGAAACAGAAGAAAAAGTTTCCAGTGGGGTTTCATGTGCTGATAGGGTCTCTCCCATACAAGCAATTTACGTCCCCAGCACAGGCTTCTACCCATGGGGACAAATCAACCAAGGAAGCGCAGCGCACTTACCGGATAAGGGACCTGGTCAGGTTGCTTTTGTACCTTTTGAAGTGTTACCCTATTCAACTAGTAGAAAGTTGTTCCCTGGTGTTACCTCGACAAACATAGACAGGAACTACGAGACATCTAGACAAGAGGTACCAGACCTGAACAAGATCGACCAAAGGAGCTTAAAAGAAACTCACTCACACGAAGTAAAAGAAGAAAAACAAATCCCAGAGAAAAAGACAAACGGTGTGTGCTAAAGTTATAAAATTTTGCATTGGTAGTACTTGTTATGATGTATCAAAGTCCTTCACCAGACTTTATAAGTCATGCATAAAATATTTGAGGTTATAACCAATGTTTTTCTTGATGTGGTGGCATCTAGAAGATTTGTGATCATTGGAGTAGTACAACCTCGTCCCGAGGGCCCTCTCACGCCTCTCTCTCCTCTGTGTAAGAGGGCCCTGGGGACGAAATCGTGGAGTAGCAAGCATTGTATTGCTAGATATCGGATGTGTAATTTTCACTTTACTAACAAAGCATCTCATTTTACTAGTTCACTTCCTTTATCACCTGTTTTTAGCCTTGTCAGTGATATGGGGATTCTTTTTTATTTCATAGGTCCATTGATAGAAAACTCGGAGGTTTCCATGGAAACAAGCCCATTTGAACTGAATGACACTAAAAAGGTAAATTCTATTAGCATTTAGGCTAGAGTAAGGGAAGTTGAGAAGGGAGCAATTGAACTGGACTGAGAAAAGCTTACATCATGTGCAATATTTTTGTTTTTGCAGATTAAAGATAAAGATCTGGTTCAAAAATTCCTCGAAATGCCGTCCAGAATAGACGAAAGCCGAATTAAAGAAGGTCAGTTTTGCTTTTTTATCTTGGATAAAAAAATGTGTGACGTTGCACAAAAACGTTCGCGGGAAGCCCAATGCACTATGAAAAAAAAATTTTTCGGTGTAACACTATCCTATTCAAAACGAATTCCTATTTATCTCTTATCTTATTTTCACGGTGTATAATTTACCTTCTTATCATTACTGTTTCATTAGTTATCTCCTCTTATTTGCTCTGTAGATTACTGCAGCTCTCTTAACAAATGAATTTTGGTTTAACTATAGGTAAAGATTTGAAGTATGATTGCGAAATGTTTCCCAGTTCTGGACCTTGCAAGGTACATCCATTCCTAAACAAAATTAATAATGATGATTAAAAATAAATAATTAAAATCATTTTGACAAATTGTAATTAAGTTCTAAGCATATTCAATGTAATGTTTTGTGCAGGGCGGACAGTCGTTCGTTGTTGTTCTAAATCACCCGCTAGAAGAAGACTTCGATCAAGCTACTTTTCGCGCCAAATTTAACGACCACACTTCGTTGGTGAAGCTGACGCGTGTTGATCGTTCTACCCTTAAGGGAAAAGCTGTTCCAGGTATGCGTGCGAATACATGTGCTATTCCATTTTATTGGTAAATAGACCATTTAGATAGGAATGCAGCTCAATTTGGAGCACATAACAATAGCTTTCCAAATCTCATACGATTGAAATTCTCATATTATGGATATATATTATGGATACTATGGGAAGCCATTTCAATGTTATGGTATACCATACTGTGTGCAAGCTGTAAGCCAATACCGTATTTCTCATATTATATATTATGGATATTATGGGAAGCCATTTCAATGTTATGGTATACCATACTGTGTGCAAGCTGTAAGGCAATAGCGTATTTCTCATATTATATATTATGGATATTATGGGAAGCCATTTCAATGTCGTGTTATGGTATACCATACTGTGTGCAAGCTGTAAGCCAATACCGTATTTCTCATACATATTATGGGAAGCCATTTCATATTACCGTGCTTTACCATTGTATAACATGGTGTACGTGCTGTTAGTCGATACCATAAGTTTCTCTTATAAGAAAAATTATGTGTTATGTTATATGTTATGTTATAACATAATGTTTTGACAAAGAGGTATTCCTGCTTTACGAAGTCACCTGACTTCAACAAATGAATACAAGCAGCGGGTGATGTCTGAGTCGACTACGTGCTCCCGATACAGAGCCGTTGTGCCAAGTAATTCTTCTCAACACTTCTAAACACTCAAAGTTTATCATTCCATTCGTTTTCCCCCCAGAGTCGTCAGAGTCAGGTCACGTGACTGTTCGGGTCGAGGCAGATGGTCATCTTATCGGCTGCACGTCCTTTATTTACGAAGATGGTTTTGCCGATGGGCTAAGAAAAGTGATGTTTTCTGGTGAAAATGGTGAAATGATGCTACGATTCATGACTGCTTCTGAAAATGAAAGACATGAATTGCAGGGTAGGACTAATGTATATTTTGCTTTTTCATTATCCTCCAACGCGCCGTACCCCTCCCCCGCGGTTGAGTATTTTCCTTCTTCTCTCCTCTCCCCCTCGCTCTCCAAGGTGTTCCATTGGCGCTTTGCCAGACTCCCTAGTACACTGCACTCAAAGACCCGCATCGTGTCTTTGCTTAATGTAAGGCTCTCTGCGCCATCCGGTAGGCGCATAAGGCGACCGAAACCCCCACCCCCACGGGGGTGCCGAGAAATGTTTAATATTTGCCCCAGGGTTCATTTATTCTTGGCTTTCACGTGACGTCACTGACCTATTTCGACCTATCCAAATATGGGCGTCCGCCATCTTTGTGCCCCTCCGAGTGTGAAATGTTATGATAATAGTAGGCCATTTTTATAGTGTTTAGAGTTTTAGCTCGCTTCAGAG